CCTTCCTTCTAGCGCCAAAATGTTACGGTCAGTAACTGTTCAGCCGGGGCCTTGGGGCCGTCGCGGCTTGGTTCGGGTCCGGAAGGCGGTGGTCAACGGGTGGGGGGAGCCCCTCGGGGTCTCCCGGCGGCCGAGCTCGGTTGTTCAGGTCGGCGGTTCGGGTCGGTGGTTCGGGTCGGGAGGCAGCTCCGTCGCAGCTTCAGGAAGTGGCGACACCGTCTCGCACCTGCACACAGGTCGGGCCGGGAGCTCGGCCCGACCCCTCCGACGATCAAGTTAGAGGTAGACGTGGAGGGGGTTGTGGATGAGGCAGAAGAAGAGCCTCTGAGTGTTTTGTGTCTGAGTGAGTTCCTCTCCTCCCTTTTCTCTTTAGAGTTTGGGGGTATTTATAGATGAAGTTTGATGTTACCTGACGTGGTTGTCTGCAGGGTAGGACTGTACCTTTGGTGGCGTGGGAGGCCGAGCTGCTGCAGGGTATGGTGTGCCTCGGGCAATGTGTCGCTCAGAAGGATGTTGTCAGGGCGTGTCACATCGTCACTTTTATCCCTATCAGTAATCTCCATCCTCAATTAGTACTAACGTAAAGTAGTCGAATGACCAAAAAGATCCTTCGCCACACAGAAATTACTAGGGTGCCCAAATATTCCTACGTGGCATGAAATTTGACCATTCCAAGAAAATCACAAAATATGTTTGATCTCAAAATTACTACGTGGCATGAAAATTGACTAATTCCAAAGAAATCACACGATATGTTGGATCTCAAAAATTACTTATGGAATCTGGATTATGAGCTGGCAACAGAGTAATCTCATTCCTAACGCATCGTTGCCTCCATTCCCGAGACAGAGAGAGAGAGAGAGGGGTCTGCAGGTGAGAGATGACATGTGTATATATATATATATATATATATATATATATATATAGAGAGAGAGAGAGAGAGAGAGAGAGAGAGAGAGAGAGAGAGAGGGGGGTCTGCAGGTGAGAGATGACATGTGTATATATATATATATATATATAGAGAGAGAGAGAGAGAGAGAGAGAAAAGAGAAGATGATTGATGGAATGTGTGTTTGGAATAGGCAGTATTTTATGTAGCCAAAGAGGTATACGATGCACGTGTCACGTAGGTATCCATGTGAGGCGGAAAGTAGGTCGCCTTCGACATTGGCATGCAGTGGCGGCCACCACGAATCAACTGGAGATCAAAGCTAACCTTGCAGCAACATGCGGATGGCAATGGCGGACGAACTGTCGTCCGCCACACGCACTCATTGCAGGGGTTGAAGTGGCTCTGCCTCCTCTCGTCCTCAGCCGTCCTCGACGAGAAGTGTGCATGGCAGATAGATGCGCACCAGACGTGGATCAGTTGTTGTTGTGCACCTGGTCAAACCATGCACTCATGCACGAGCAATGTGGCAGCTTGTGAGAGCTTCCTTTTGTTGGTAGTGCTGTTCTATTTCTGGGCAAGCTCAATACCGTCTCTTTTGATGCGAAACAAGAGACAGTTTGTCATCGAGTCGAAATGGTTGTGTGGTAGCAGTCGTTTCGACGATGATCATCAGTTTACTCATGATCAGCCACATGAGCCTTGAGACGATCATGAGTCCGTCCCCTTCATTGCTTGTTTACTTCGATCTGAGGGCTGATGAGAGGCAGACAAACTGTGATGCAGAGCACAGCCCCAACTCAGACTCGTTCTTGAGCCCAAGTAATTATTTGGGAAGGGATAGATTCTCTCGTGATTTTGGCTGCTGGAAGCTGTCTGAAGTGACAGTTCGTTGGACTAACAACAACAACAACAACGTCTCTCTCATTGGATTCTCCTTTTCGTGTTGTCAGCGTCCGACACCGATTGATATCTAAACACTTGTCTTCCTTGTTGTTCTTAGCGGTTTGTTTCTACTCAACTGTGCACTCCACAGGGCAAGGATGGCAGTTCTCGACCAGACCTGCAATATTCCTGCCTAATTATGTCTCTTTCCTCTCCCAACTCTTTCCACCATTGATTGCAATGTTAGCGCAGCATCCTTCCTTTTGCTTCTTACCTGTGTTTAAGCAAGAAGGAAAAGCTTCTGTTCTGTTTGATCATGGAAATCTTTCCGAGGTAAATGTTCTCTCTGTCAGTGACCAGGGTCCAGGAGATGCCCACCTTCATCCCTGTATCTTGAACTTCCTCCTGACATCTAAGCGTATGATTAGTACGGTGAGACGTATCAGCAATGTTTTGCACATGGAAACATGAAGGCCGAGCATGCTAATTAAAGAGAAAGGGTGATTTAAATGACACAACATCTCTTAGTACTCTGATTCATGGTGGAACAAACAATCCATTTAGACCAAACCATACGAGAGACATACACCGTTCAAGAACGGACATGAGAACCATCGTGACTCGGTTGGGCAGGCAGGCAGGCAGCGTTATCGACCTTGAAGCTAAACTTGCTTGTTCCCCTTGATGGATAGCCCGAAATGGATCTCGGGGAAGTGTGCCCACTGCAAGTTGACAGAAAGCTGCATGAATCACAATCGTTGAAGATGTAGAACAGTTATGGCTAAGGAACTTGAAGACACCGATGCCTGGTCTCACGATGTGGAAGAGCTCGTTGCATCAAGAGATAAAAGGCTATCTACCACGAACTGGTCCTGTCTTTCCAGTCATCCTCTATTTGACAATGTAGGTGAAATTTTGGAGACCAACCATCAAGATTAATCAAGACCTAAATAGCAAGCAAGTCGGTATGCTACGCACTCGAGGAATAGATCCTTCCTCAACTACAATCCTCTGATCAATATGCGTTAGCGATCCGGGCACCGTGTATTCATGTCCTATATTTGCAATAGTTCACCGAATGAATCATTGTAGATTGTGAGATTAGCTCTGCAGCTTCATTCATTCACATATCGCCTTGATGATTCAACCATGTCGTCTTCGGTCAATGCCTACCGGAAATATGGATTCTACTGATTTGTTCGAGGATGGATGAGTATTCAGCGTGCAAAAACAGGAGGAAGAGGAAGCATTGCGGTGATGGTGATGGCTGAGTGGAGGCAGCGGATCGAGGAGGGCTTTAATCCTGGAAACGTAAAGTGGGCAACTATGATGGAGGAGAAGGAAAGATGATGATGGAAGCGGAGGCGATGGTGGAGTAGATCGTGATGGAGGAGGTGGAGGATGAGATCGAACGGGGCGAGACACGAGGCAGATGGGATCAAAGTGATGGCAATGAAGAAGATGAAGAGAGGTCGAATGGATGACAAAGTCGAAGTGACCCATCCATTAAAGCCTTGTTGGTCGGAAAACATACTCTGATCGTTGATTCCTTCAAGCCCAAGTGCTCAGCTCGCAGCTTCCATTCTGCACTCTCTCTGATATAATCCTCTCATGTCTGATAAGCAACACTTTGCAGCAAATTTAAAGTGAAAATGGCTGTAAATTTAAGCTAAGGGTTTATCTTATCATTTTCATTTAGAGGACCAATTCGTCTAGCATATATCTTTACTTTCTGCTAATTAAATCTTCATCATTTGTGGCTTAATTCTCAGCAACACTAGTAATGCTTACATTTTTTGCTGCCGTGCTGAAAGCTTCCTTGTGGCTAATGTTGGGATTTTTCGCCTTCAGCCGCTGAATCTCCTCCCTGCGTAAGAAAAGTTCTCGATATCACTGATGATAGCAATACGTAATCCAACTTTATTTAGGTCGAGGAACTTACTTGATGAATCTGTTATAGGCAGAAGGAGCACGTCGCTTCTCGGTGGACGCTTCCAGGAAGATGAAAAGAATCAGACACGAATGGTTGTTTCAAGAATCAGACATGAAGAAGAAGAAGAAGAATTGAATTTATGAACTTTTGCGTGTGTATGCATAGAATGTGGTGTCGCAGAAAGGCTTACGATGGATCAGCTGCATTTGTTGTTGAACGAAATCCATCGAGCTCATCACTGATAGGCTGGTGCGGGTGGAAGAAGATCCGGAATCCATGTGAAGGTGTTGAGATCCAAGGTTATGACTCTGCACTTTGTTTTCAGTGAATTAAGAGTAAAAAATAAAAAGTTCATCATCACCATATACATATGGGAGATGTTATCTTTGTGCTGACATTTGAGATGAAATAATTCTTGGGTGCTACTTGATGAGAAGAGAAAACATTGTTCATGTCCAAGGAGCATCACAGATGAATTGTCTAGACTGCAGGTTTTCTTGATGAGAAGAGAAAAACATTGTTCATGTCCATTGTTCATGTCCATGGAGATCAATCCATTTTCTCCAAGTGTTTGCATATCTATCCCTATTTCAATTGATGTTGAGCTATAAACAGTTAAATCTTGCAACAAGTAATCATCTCAAGCTTTCGATGAACCGATTGCAGTCGAAACACAATATGTCATCAGTGAATCTTCATTGATCCAACATTTGCCGCACGTCATGAGTTTTTCTAGCATTCCTTCCTTTATCAGCGTCGAAAAAAAGGCTAAATCACAAAGATCTATAAACATAATAAGCAAAAAAAAAGTTGCATTTGCATACACTAAATAATTAACGTATGCAATTCTGCACAGATCTATAAACAAGTAAATAAGAACAAATTGTGGGTGCAAAAGAACACGAAGTACTGTGCAAATCATGAAGAAATCATAAGCCAAAGTAGGGGTGTGTTAACCTGAAGATTCTGAAGTGGGAGTTTTCCAAGCAAGGCTTCAAGATTCACATACAGGATATTAGCACAAAGGCCACATCTTACCGTGACAATGTTGAATGAGTTGTCGTGAGGGACATTAACCTGAAGTAAGAAGAGAAGGAATACATGAGATGAACAATAAGCACACTTTTCTCTTTGGCTTTGGGACAACGAAGAGAGAGAGAGTGTGTGTGTGTGTGTCAAGTACTAGATTTGTAGTCACCGAGGAGGTCATTGGTTTGCACTAATTATGTTACATTCGTGCATTACTTTTCTCTGAACAAAATGCACAAGACACGAGATAGCAATCGGTACTCGGTGCTGGTTCTGAAGAACACTCGCTGTAAGAAATGAAGAGAGAAGCAGAAGAAAAGAGAGAACTAGGGTTTCGGATCCAGCTTCTCCTTGGAGTCGTGACAAAGCCAGCCCAAGCAACCATGCTAGTTTTGGGAGCTTTGCAGCGAACTAGGGTTTCAGATGGCTTAGAGATTTAGGATCAAAGAATCTGATGAAGAAGAGTGTCAAGTTTCATGGCTAAATGATGGGCTCAATTGGTTTCATGCTTACTGCAACAGCTCCCAGGGTGAAGGACATGTAACATGCGCATGCATGGAGTCACCTGCACTATGAGATCTCGCAGAAGAGCTCTTCTCAGAGATTAGGGTGTAGAAAGGTTTGGCTGCACCGGAGACCCCACATGTTCATGTCGAATATATTCCTTCTGGCAGGGCTCAAAAAGGACAAGAACAAACTCTTGATCGTTTATACCCTAAAACTTGGGTCCTCAGATCATGATGACCATCCTGAAAGTTTACTGCATCTGGTTGTAATTTAGTCGATAAATCTCCCTTAAAGATGAAGCAAAGTTGATACATACATAATAGACATACACTGATATCTCTCATCTCAGTAGAGCTGCTTTGGGTAGGTAATATGATGATGGGTGAGAAGGTAAAGAAAAGCGAAGAGAGCGAGAGGGAGGGAGGCTGTGCAGAATATACCACTAGAACAGTGTTGCAGAAGCTGCAACCGACGTAGCAAACTTGATCGGGCAAGACATGGCCGGACGACATCTCCGATGACAGAGGGAATTGAGAAGTCGGGGATATGTAGGCTAAGGGTGGAAGAGAGATGATGGAAAGAGCGGAAGAGAGAAGAGGATGAGAAGTAGAACAGATAAGAGCGATGGCATCATATTAATTGCAAGATGGAAGTCACGGGTAAAGGAGGGGGGGATGAATAAAAGGGAGGAGGAGTTGTACGGGAACGTAAGCCCAGCCAAACATTTCTCAGGTTGAATGGGATGTGCCATGGGAATGTGGAAAACAAGGTAGAAGAAGTACAATCAATGTAATGATTGACTGAAATGAGTGAATGGGAGTGTGTTCTTCTCTCTCTCTCTCTCTCTCTCTCTCTCTTAGTTTTAACATTTCAGAAGATTAATCTTGACTTTACTATATTATTTTACCACATTTATTTTCTGAATTATTTTTTGAACGGTGGATGAAAAAGTTGTCACAGATCGTGAGTCCTACGAAAAGATTGGATACATATATTAATACAACAATATCTGAAAATTGAAAAACCCTTAATTATATGTAATAGTTTTTCCGAAGATAATTTTACATTTCTCATTTGATGCTCATATTTCTTTAATAACCTAAATGTTTCTCGCTTTCGTCGTATCACGAAAGCCTCCTTCTCTTTGCGATGCCTATTGTTTTCTTGCTTTTGTCTTGCTATAGATGTCTCAATAAAAGAAAGTCAGAATAGATGAGAAGAAACAAAAATTCAGAATATAAATAGGAAAGAAAAGAAGAAAAGAAAATCAAAGCACGAAGAAGAGAGAAGAAAAGAAAATAGGGCGAAGATGACAAAACAAAGATGATGACATTTAGGGTATTAGAGCGAAAAGAGGCACCAAACAAGAAAACGAAAGGATCACCCATAATTTTTTTTTATAAAAGATTATATATGACACCAACACCTTCAATAACAAAAATTAAAAGTTCTTTAAGGATTTGTAGAAACTCTTTCTAGGAGTATTATGCTCAAAAAAGAAACAGAACATGCTATAAGATGGAACATGGGATGGGATGAAAAGTAATCCATTTAGAGGAGGAGAATTGGATTCAATGTCTGAGACTTCATAAGCAGTACACCCTCAGCATGAGAATGAGAATGCACCCAAGTCGAGGAAACGAAGAAGAAAGGAGATAGAAATCAACAATGACCTTGTATCGTTCACACGAATACGCTTCAACCCATGAGATGTCGTATCAGATTGGAGGGTTTGGCTCCACAAGCTTGTCGCAATCATTGAGAAAAATAGGTGCAGCAGTTCACTGACCTTGTTCTTTACGCTTCAAATCAATAACCATTTTGCTTCCTTCTCCGGATCAATTAATTGTTGGGTTGACATTGTTCCTATGCATGAAGAACATAATAATTATTCACAGTCAGAAGAAGAAAAAAAATTGAAAAAAAAGAAAAGTTCGCTTAATTAATTTGTTGTAATCTATCACTAGTAAGTAAGTTGCACCTGAATCATCTTAAACCACTTTATGCTACTAAAAATCAGAATAGACAAAATTTATTTGGCGTACCTTGCAGTCTCTGGACGCACTTCAACATAACTCCAGTACGGTATAGTTGGCAGTGAGGAGTGCGAGATTCCAATGCTGGAAAGCTACTTTCTTGTTCTTTAATAAGAAGACTCTACAATGACATGACCTCAGAGATGGTACACGTTAGATTGCGGACACAGTTCTTGTCCCTTTCTCGAAGATAGTGCCGAGATGAAGCTAACCTTTTATCTCATCTCCTGGTTTCTTCTCTGCTGCTTCATGCCACTGGGAGATATTACTGCAATTAAAACCAAAATTAAAATTAATAATAATAATTCCTTCCATTCAAACACTCAACCACTACAATGTCTGTCTCATTACCGAGAGAATCGGGTGAGCACAAACTCCAACATGTGTTGCTGTGGATGGGGCAGAGACAAACTGAGGGACAGCAGAATCATCATGCCACTTTGTATCTTCGTTTTTCTAGCCTTACTGGGACTTCAGGTGTTCCCACGAAAGAGAGAGCTCAATGCACCATCTGATTTCGAGGAATCCGATGCCTTGTTTGGCCTCAAGAAGAAAGGGCGATGTGTGTTGCAGCAACCGATGGATGGGTACATTGGGCGTGGAACCATCACTGTCGGAGTAGATATCTGAGTAAAAGGACATGCTACGAACACAGACACAGGAGGGTGACGAAGACAACTAGAGTCATACAATGCAATGTAAATATTATCCCTGAATTCAACCATCAAGATTAATTTTCCAGAGACCACTACGAATAACGAGTGTGCACCAGCTTCATTTATTCGATGCTTTAACAGAGAAAAACCGATTACAAACATAATCCAAAAGCATGGCAAGAGCTCACTATTTCATGGCCGCGGAAGGATTCGGCGTTCCAGGCTTGGAGTTACTGTCCGAGACCCAGAGCACTGGAGCAGGAAATCAAGTGCCTACCAAAATACTCCCCCCGTTAGTACAATTGAACCAAAATTGCAGCAATTTAAATAAGCATGCCTCATTATTGGAATGATAGCTATTATTACTTCAGCAGGCCAAAGCCCTTAAAACATTACTAACATTAGATATCTTCCTTTTCTTTTTCATGAGCACAAGAATCTAGCTTTACATTGATACGATCAAATCCAAACAGAATTTGCCAAAAGCCTGAACACACTGGCATCTTTGAAACCATATTTAAGGGAATCAAATCAGGAATAACCAAAACTCCATTTGATATGCATCAGGAAAAGTACAAAATGAGCCTTCCCCTGAAATATGTGGGATGAAGGATATTTTTCTCAAACTGGCGGTCAATGATGGCAGCAATATGTGCACTTCGAATTACTTGCAAACCACATGACGCTTTACAGAATATTGCTGCCCTTCATATCATATATCTTGCTATTGAGGCTTTACCAGTCCCTTTCTCCAAGCATGCTCCTTCAGCTTCCCTGATGATGGACCTGAGTAGGCATGCCAACAAAAGACATGCTTCTTGTGTGGGATATGCCTCGTCTGGTTTCACAATGTCCATTCTCCAGAGCAGCCAACTCAAGGCCAGTAAAATTACGCAAATATAGCTTAGGCATCTGAGCTGCTGGTTTGGACCCTCTGGTAGAAGAGCACATATGCAGCAGATGACTTTATGATGTCCTCAGATATAGGAAGAACATGCTGATCATCAAAATCGTACCAACACCTCTCACCTTCATGCTACAGAAGAAACTCAGTATCAACAAAATTATTAAATTTGCATCTTTAATGTTTAAAACGAAAGTAGATTTTTTTTTAGATGCAATGAGATCTGGGAAGTTCTCACACAAGACTGCAGAAAACCAAATATAATGAAATTGAAAAGTCATAGGTGCTTATCCACACAAGTGATGTGTTTCAACTTTTTTGTTATTTTGACAAAAACAGACAACATATTGTTCAATGTGAAATGCACATTTTCATCTTGTCTCTCATCTATTTTTCTACATAATATTTCTTGATCAATTGTCAAACAATGTTTCGTTTCAGTAAATGTCATCACAGCATTAAATCAAACACAAGAACTTTAACTGCAAAGAGAATAAACATGTAACTTACATAAATATATGCAGTGTAGTGACCACCTCCCATGTTGCCATAGTGGTTGCTGACTGCATATAATCGATAAACGGATGACCCTCTGGACTTGCAGGCAATATAGCTTGATAAATCCAGGTCACAGATTGGGAAGTCTACAAACATCTCCAGCTTGTTATTAATGAACCTACTATATGAAAATCTCTTTAGATGAATAATGAGAACCTCTGGCAGCCTCCAAAGGTCCAACTTCTTACAAGCTTGCTGATGTTTTTTGCAACTTGGACAATACCTGCAATGAAGTGGTCAAATACCATGGATTTATCTACCAGAATAAAAAGATAAATTCTAGAACTATGATGATGTTCAAAATTTTCAGATATCATGTACCTTAGCAAGTTCCACTCCAAACAACTTAAGATTGACATGCCATCAGTCTTTTTTTTTTCTTCATTAATTCGTGTAACATGTATTTATATCCAATGAGTTGCAAGACACTGATAACCATGCCTAATTTTGAACATATAAATTATTCTCTCCCTGACTTTAGAAACTACAGCCTACTTCAACTTAGTTGTGACCGAACAAACTTCAAGGGTTTTTTAGCAGTCATATACTGATATATTAAGCATTTCTTAAGATCTTTGCTCGATGCAGAAGATCTACTGGTAAGTTCTACCTACTTGATATGGAGTGATTTGCAAAAAAAAAAAAGATACTGAGAAATATACTGACCACATATCTTCTGGTCCGAGTGGTTCCTCCTTCAGAAATGCTTCAAGACACGAATAGAGGGAGACAGACTCCTGAGGCCGCTTAGCAAAAAGTCCAAACTTATAAACCTCAGTTAAGGTATTCAGAAGGTCTATATCATACTGTCCCATTGTTTTCTCATGCCAACAGACAAGCACATACAGCTTTCGCTGATAACCTGTGAGGGAAATTGAATCATCCATTTCTATCTTTGAAAGCATCGCCTGACAGTTCTCATCCGTGAGATAAAACTGAAATCCATCATGGAAGTATTTTCCTTCTTCTGTCCTTTCAAAATCCAGGAGATGGGAGTCCTCGTCTATCTTAGCAATCTCATTAATAGAATTACTGCTATCTTGCTCAATGTCGAAAGAAGATTCTTTTGGAATGAGAAATGGATTAAGGAGCTTCAAGAACAGGTCAACGATAGTGGATCCTGTGCTAGCATTTGGTAGCCTAGCGATAAGGGGGACGCCAAATGACTTCCAACGTTTATCTGTCGAGCTATTGAAATATTGCCTGGAAAAGAAGTTTATCACAAAACAGCAATAAAAATTATTATCCTAAAGTAAGTCTATAATAGTTAGAGAGAATGAATGGCAATACAACAACCAAGAAGGCAGAATTCAACATGACCACACATTTAACTGGACACAGCTTAAAGAACTACACAGAGAATAAAGCATGCCGAAGACCTAAAGTGCCATACAGTATCAGATACACCAAAACGTGTGTATTGACTGTGCAATTTGAAGGGATGCATGATTGTTGGCATATAAACCATTTCCCATGCTCCTTGCAGCATAAAATTGACATTAGTCAAATTACCTGTGCTGTCTTAAGATTGTTGTTACAACAAAAGAACTGATGTAGTACAACCAGCACTACTTGCCTCATAACAGCCTTACTGGCCATTCTAGCTCAGTAATCCAGTGAAGTGATAACTTATGTGTCAATTAAATATCTCATAAGCTAAGCCCAATCAAAAAAAAAAAAATCTCATAATCAGCAATGAATTTGAAGTTTAAGCAACAACTAGATCCAAACAATAAATCCAATGTTTTGGACATGTTCCATAGGCATCAGATTATTAAAAGACCTGGGACTTCACCAATATGAAGAATTTAGACTGATATTCAACTTCAGGGTTACGGAAATTGAAGTAATGAAAGTGGCTTTTCACCATCATTAAAAATTGTGATACGTCAATCTTACTCATCCATGCTTTGATGCATAAACACAATCAGTGGAAGATCTTCAGGATCTTTTGAAAGCCTGTATGCTGCAAGCTGATCTCCATCTCTAATCAAGGAAAGTGAATCAGAAGGGTCCTCAAGGAATCGAATAACTTGATTGCAGAAAACCTGCAAAATGTTTCTATTGGCAGATAAGTCAAACAGAAATATCAGATAACTCTTAGCCAAGGCATCATTTCTGTTGCCAAAGCAGTAGAGTCAGTAAAATGTTAAATAACATACCTCAGCAACTAACAAGCTCTCATCATGCTTCAGTGAACAAGCAATGCTTAAAGCTTGAACTAAATCCTTGCAGTTACCGGATTTTGGCACATTTACAGTATATGAAGATGGCCTGCTGAGACCATCAGTACTGAAGACGGTAACAGTCATTGTCCGCACTGTTGTAGACGGAAGGGGCAAAGATAAATACATGAATGGGTCAAATGTAACTGATGATTTATTGCAAACTGGACATACCAAAGTTGATCTGTACTGACCCTGTAAAACATCAACCATTCCAAATGTAATAAAAGTAACTGAAAGAAAGCATAATGATGATGCAAGACAGTCCAAATGCCTTACATGAACATATAGTGATCTAAATCATGCAACCTAATTATGCTTAAGTTTCACAAAACATTTTCATAGTTCATACAGAAAAATAAACAGGCAGCAAAATTCAACTTATTTAAATGTTCTCCTCCTTAGTTTATAACATCAACCATTCTCCTACATTTCTTCCATGCAGCTTACATACCTCCTTCCTGGACACAAACCTTCCTCACATTTATTCATAAATTAAAAACCCTCCCTATGTAAATAACTTCCGCCCTATATCACTCCCAAATGTCAATTATAGAATCCTAGCCAAGGTCTTAACAAACAGATTGAAACCTCTCCTTCAGAAATTAATTAGTCCTGAGCAGTCTTTCCTCCGTGGTAAAAATATTCATGATAATATTTTGATTGCTCAAGAAGCTGCTCACACTATGCATTCCTCTGAAGGCAAGAACCCTCTTATTCTTGTTAAATTAGATCTTGAAAAAACTTTCGACAGATTATCTTGGACTGCTATTATCAATGTCCTTTCTTCCATGAATTTCCCTTCTTTATTTATCAAATGGATAACAGCTTGTATTTCTTCACCCACATTCTCGTCTTATAAATGGTGAAATTTCTGAGACTTTTATCAGTCATTGTGGGGTCAGACAAGGTGATCCATTGTCACCTTATATATACATTTTAGTTGCTCAGATTCTAACTCAGCTGTTAAATCAAGCAACTAGAAACCGAAGTCTTACTCCCCTTAGTTTCAATTATGATTGTAAAATAATTCATATTATGTTTGTTGGTGACATTTTACTCTGTTTTAGGGCTAATCCTAAGTCTTGCACTACTATTAAACGAGTCATCAAAATTTATGAGGAAATGACCAATCAAAAAATCAGTCATTCTAAATCTGCGATTTATTTTCCTAAATCTACTCCAAGATCCACTTAAAACCAGATCTGTTCTAACCTTGGATTTAAAGAAGGTTCATTTCCTTTTAAGCATATAGGTGCAACTATTGCTCCTAGAAGAATTCCTCAATCGACTCATGTGGAAACTCTTAATAAAATCAAAGCTAAACTTGCAATTTGGAAATGTAATCATCTTTCACAAGCTGGCAGATTGGTCTTAGTTAAATCTGTTTCGACTTCTATTCCTTTACACACTCTCAGTGTTACTTGGCTGCAAGATAGTTTCCTCCATAAGATTCAAACACTAATAAATAATCTTCTTTGGCAAAATAATCCTCAAACCAAAGGCCTCCATCTTATTAATTGGAACACTGTCACCTCACATAAAGACCAAGGTGGTCTTAACATTCAGGACATCACTTTTTTCAGAATTACTTTACAAGCTACCAGAATCCAGCGATATCTTAATGACGATGGTAGCTTATGGAGTACTATTCTTTACACTAAATATGGTAATGTACACCTTTGGAACATTCCTAAATATCATCAATCCAGTTGGAGTTTGAAACAGTTCACCCGAGCCATGAATGACCTTAAAGAATTTTTTTTATACAAATAGGTAATGAACATTCTACATGTTTTCTTACATGTCCTTGGCATTTTAATATACCTTTGAATTGTATTCCTACTTAACTCAATATTATACTAAGATTAATGTGCTAATCCAATCTAATAGCTGGAATACCCAGTTGCTATTGGATATGTGCACACCTAATTTAATTTCTGTCATTAAGGCTATAGAGATTGCTCAGTTCCCTTGTGAGGATAAATGAATTCGAAAGGATCATCAATTAGGGAAAGCAACAGCAACAAGTGCATATCATTTCTTGCACCCCAAACCTGAATCATGCTGGTATGGTTGGCTCAGTCTTTGGCAGCTCCCAGTTATTACTAGAGTTCATACTTTTTGCTGGAAACTATTGCATCGACGTTTACGTATTACTTACTGTTTTCTTCATTTGCATTTTATTGTTCAATATTTGTTTGTTCCCTTTGCCTTTCTCACCCAAAAACCATTGATCATCTATTTTTTCAATGCCATTTTTCCACCAGAATTTGGAATTTTTGGGAAACAAACCTCAAACTCTCATTCCAATATAAACCTACCTGGAACATTGGTGAATGATTAAAGGAAGGCACTATTCTAGGAATGGGAAAGCTGCAATAGCAAACCAGCCTTGGTTCATTTGGAATTTGTGGAATGATGCACACTTTAACAGGAAAAAGACTTACATTATGTGAGCCAGGGCTCAAGCTTTGGCTCATTCTATCTATTATGCTAGAAGCACTTTATCTGAAGGGAAGAGACTGACTAACTCTATAAGTTTCAAATGGCAAAAACCAAATGCAGGTTGGCAGAAGCTCAACACTAACGGTGCGTCCCTTTTGCAGGATGGGGGCATGGGGTTCATCATCAGAAATCATCTTGGAGACTGCCAGGCAGAAGGACAACAATATATTCAAGGCAAATCTGATGACCATGCAATTAAAATAGGTCTTAAGGTAGCAATTTCCAGAAAAATTACTCATCTAACACTTGAAAGTGACTCTTCTTCCATTGTCGATCGGCTGAACAAAGATAAAACTGTTCCTTAGGTTATTACTCACACCATCAATGATATTAAATAACTGCTGCATCAGCTAACACTCATACACCATTAGCCACTGTTTTTGGGAATGCAAACAAGCAGCAGAATGGGCCGCTAAATGTGCTAGAGTTAATAAAATCCGTTGTCTATGGACTGATTCATTGTCTCTTCCACTGGAGCTCTCCTCCATTCTGTATAAAGACCTTCATGGGTCTTATTGTAGAACTATGACAAGTTCATAAATTTTCGTTTTATTGCCAAAGAAAAGCTATTGGTTGTATGGTAGAATTGAGGAGAAAAGATGTTCAGTTTTTCAGAATCATCAAGCATGATATGTAAAGAATTTTAAATCACCAAAATAATGGATACTAACATGACAAAGGTCCACTATAATGGAGTCATTACGAGCAAAATGATTACTCCAGTACTCATCTGCTACTTCTTCATCCGGACGTCCAGATGCATCCTTAATTTCAAAATAAGGTTTGTTTTTTATACGGTTCAGATCTTCGTGAAGCCCATCTAACAGAAAGGCTAGAAGTTCCTGCAGAGAAACCATGGAAGTCAACAAATGAATTATCCCTTTCCAATCAGTTCCAATTTTTGGAATAAAAGTTAGAGACTAATTCTAGCACACACATAACAGATGAAAAACATTACTCACTTGACAATCATGTTGGCTAAATCCATAGAATTGTGGGGCAAAAGAAGCAAGCTTTGCTTTGAAAACATGTGGAGCAATCGGTGTGTTTTCTGGAGCCCACAGCTTCCTCAGCAGTTGTCCAAATGCTGAAGCAAGCTCACCCTGGAAAATGAGAGGCAATACTTGTGACTCTCAAACAAATGCTCTTTTAATGCTGAAAATGTGAAAGAAAATAGAAAAATATTTTAAAATAGAAATAGAAAAAAGTGAGGATTTTTCAGTTTCTTGTTCATACATAAAATACGAGTGAAAAACAATAGGTACATAATTTTTATTCAAAATCAACACCTTTTTGAGGAAATATAATTGGATGGTCAGAAGTTTCAGTACAGAATTAGTATTAGATTTTCTTATCTAATGCATCCTTGTATGTGTATAACCTCATATGGATGCCCTGAACAAGTGTATGAGGCCTCAAAATGAAGTATTATTATATATGTGAAATCTGTTGCACATATGTGATCTGCATAAGTATGATATGATCACATATGTAGTTAACTACTCTGTATTTTCTTCTTATAAGTATTACTTCAAGCAAAACAAGTTTCGTGATTCTATTATCTATGGTACATTACTATGATACATTTCATAGACCTTCCTTCATTTCTTATTAGCAATCATATATGCTATGTTGCCCTGCATATGCACCATGTGATATCTTCACCCACATATTATACAATCACTTCCAAGACATTTACCCTTCTCCCTTTTCTTGAAGAACCAAACAGGAGAAAAGAATATCCATCCCTATCATACTTTTATTTCTTTTCATTTACTTGTGAACCAAAACAGTCCTAACTGGTTTTTGGACTATATACATAATATCCTACTTGCACCAAGGCCAACAACTTCATAAGAAAGGATATTTTTTTCACAAGCTCATGAAGATACTCAAATATTAAAAGAAAATAGCCATCAGAGTGTCAACCTACATGCAGCCCTAGTGGGTTGTGATGATTTATTTCTTTACTGTAGTCTCCAAGGAAATAGCGAACAAGCTTTGGTGTGTGAGCTAAGCACTGGATAGCACTGTTCATAAAGCATGTATTCCCAAGATTGTCCAATCCTGTCAGACCTGTAGAATTTGATCTGATGGAGCTTCCACTTAACTGAACATCAAAGTCCATACTTTCTAGGCTTCCATTGCTCATAAATAAAACACCATGAGAAGATCCTATCATCTTTGAATTTTGAACAGTTGGCCTATCCTTTTTGCTTTCATGATTATGAGCCACAGATCCCGATGAGGCATATATTTGAATCTCTAGAAGAATCTGCAACAGAGCAAGAGGAAAGATATTAAGAAATATTTTCGTGGGAATAATTTTGACATTTTGTGCATATTATATAAGATTGCTTACCACATGCTATTAGATATTTATTTATACTGTGATATACAAAAAATACCATCTACTTGTTGTGGTAACCATTAATTATATATCATGTCAAATCATCAGGAGAAAAGCACCTTAGTTTAAGCCTTAAAGGTAAACCCCATGTACACATGACAAAAGTGTAATTGACTAAAAGCTAATAACTCCAGAGAACATGCATTTTTCATCTGTCATTATAACACATAATCGAAACATTTCATGAATAAATAAGCACATTTTTGTCCACCTTGAATCACGTTTATAATTTTGGCATAACTACTTTTCACAAATGATGACACCCTATTAGTCCACATATTTGTCAAGCACTGAAGTGATTTTTTTTTTGTTGTTGTATAAAGAGCAGATTGACCAGTATGGTAGTAATAGCTAAGAATAAGTAGATTTACCAGTTAAGACATTTTTCATTGAGTGACTTCACATATTACATTACAGTTCTACTAAGAAGTCTTAACTACTTTTGGCATAACTACTTTTCACAAATGATGACACCCTAATCCCTATTACTCCACATATTTGTATAACACTGAAGTGATTTTTTTTTGTTGCACAAAGAGCAGATTGACCAATATGGTAGTAATAGATAAGAATAAGTAGATTCATTTTTAACTGAGTGACTTCACATATTACATTACAGTTCTACTAAGAAGTCGATTTGGGCATCAACAATTTATCATCCCCAAAAATTTGCTGTTATAGACACAAAAAAAGTTGTTTCCTTTTAATTTGCACTACACACAAATTTAGAGGTTGCCCAGAAATGAAGTTGTGTCTGGCCTTTGACATGTTTGAAGCAAATGGAGAACTACTTAGAGCAGTTTCTTGACTTCTTGTTTTAGGCAAAAAAGATGAGCATTAAATAGTAAGTTAAGAAGTTAACACAAACTAGTATATAACCAACAGGATTTCTATGTAAAAGTATGTTACAAGTGCATAAATACAGTTTGTCGAGAAACTCTCCATTTTTAAAACTGAAGCAGAAAAACATGTCCTACTTACCTCATTTTCTAATTGGTGTCGTCCATCCTGAAGCATCCCATTCCACCCATTCATTATGATAAAATTTATTTGTCCAGAAAAATCCCAAATATAGACCTAGTCCAGACAGAAGTTGAAGTGAACAAGGCAACTATACGCGATTACAAGATTTTCTACTGGCAGAGTGCTATCAGTAACTTACCACTTCAGAATCAACAGGGAACAGCTTGCACGCCGTGTTGTAATTCTCATTATTGTTGTCCTGAATGACAAATATGTATTAGAGCTTGCACAAATTAGATCAGTTACCTATACAATAAAAAACCAGCAATAAGTATCTTTCCAACTATAGAGACCAAACTAGATGTAATCATCCTGGAATAAAGCTAAGACCTCAATTAGTACAAGGGCCATTATGCTTTAATTATTTTCACCAAGTACATTTCCTTTCTCTCTGTCGGTATCTCTAGTTTTAAAGGTCTTCCTTGGAACATATAAAAAGCAACATATCTAAATCAATTGCTCAAAATCTTTTAGGTCTAACTAACCCACTTGAATAGTTTAGTCATAGCATCCCTTCTTCCAATTTGAGGACTAATAATCAACAGATTAGCTGATGAATCAACATTGGTAAAGTAATGTATTCAAGCAAACTAGAATTCTTTTATAACAAGAAAAGGATGGAAACAGTAATGCATAAAGAGGTCAATAGAGCATAAAAATGTCACTGAAAGGCATGGAAAAAAATACAGATTATCGATTAGCAACTTTTTTAAACTTCATTTTAGTGTTTAGCACTAGTAACATTACTCCGGCCTTGGACAAGCAACGCATGTTGCTTTTAGGTCTAGCGATACAATGAAGGATATTGCTTGTTGATAATGACGATGATGAGTGTATAAGACATGTAGTAAAACGTTAAAAACAAATGTCTCTCGTTCGCATGTCTTGATACTTTCGTTTTTGACAAAATAAGACCTCACATTTCTGTCTCTCTAGTCTTTCACCTCAGTGATCTTATTTTGTGAAACAAATGGTGATAGGTGCAGAGAGCTGCAATATTTTATCTGATAAGCATCACACAGGACCAGACATTTTGCAGTTGTGTTACCAGAAATCTTGAAATTCTTAGATATATTGGGCAACATTTCTTGCCAAATTTGGAAATCTAACAAAGACCATTTTTATCAGAAACAGAGTTCTCTCGGCGTAAAACTAGTTTCATCTACAAACAATTGAAATGTTGCCATACACAAACATGGCAGGATGGTCAAGAAAAAATGGGGATATCAAGACAGACCTTCGTGCAGATCTTTACAGTCAAAACATTTGTTCCCTGGACAGCAGAAATCCTGAGCATCACAGGATAGACATCATCTGCAGCATCTTCTGACAAGGACGAGGTTCCACTGTTCTCCATTTTCGAGCTGGGTTCATTGTGCCTAGAGAGGAAACACGGGGGATGGAGAGTAAGAGGCAAAGCCCGAAACAACATAATACGCCTAGATCAACTTTATCTAATCTACCCCAACAACTCGTAGCCCTTTTTGTTCCGCCTTTAACAGCGTAAAGAAACGATAACGACACATCAACGATCGTTGAGGAGGAAGGAAATTAGGGAAATCAAATGAAGCAGCACCGCATTCGATCGAGCATCAAGAAAAGACACAGGATACCCTGCTTCCGTTCAAACCGAGCCTTGCAATCTCACCATCGGATGGCCAACGACCACATATCGCCCCGGATCAAAGCGTAGCAGCGGCCGGAACCCCCCTCGCCCTCCGCAACACCCCGGTTCAACTCGCCGTCGTCGCGACGCTGAAGGTCGAAGACGAGATCGGATCCAACGGAGGCGGCCGAGGAAGACGCGGCGGGCGCCGCTGCGTACGGGGTCCCCTCCGCCCCGTCGGCCGATTCCCGATCGGACGCTCGCGCCGCCCTCCACCATCTGACGAGAAGCAAATCGAGAGTGAGCGATCGAAGCCACGGAAGGGGAAGGGAGGAAGGTACCCACGGAGGGGGGGGACTCACCGGTAAGGGACGAGGTAGACCGTGCCGTCCATTGGCTACCAGGGGCAGAAGGAAGCGGTTTAGGGCGACGAAGAAGAGGCGAAGGGGGATCGAAGTTGAAAGATGAGGATGAGATATGGAGTCAAAGAGATGACACGAGGAGTGGATTGCGAGCTTTGGAAGGGTACGGCGCCGGCGGTGCCGACCGAGCGATGTAGTGGAGAGAATGAAACAAAGAAACGGAAATAATTGCGATAAAAGTTGGCTGCCACCATTTGATTAGTCGATTTCACTGAACATGTGATAATAATTTTTAGTTGTGAAAAATATATTTATTTATTTATTTCTTGCGCGATTTTCATGTAAAAAATCTTTTCTTTTTTTTTAATCCGCCAATCGAGCGTAAAGGGAAATGAAAGAAGAGGGGACGAAAGCAATATAAAGCAACGAAGGATATTAAAAGAAAACGATACTAAATGAAAAAAATAATAAAAATAAAAACTGAAGTTAGTTATTTTTTAAAGAAAAAAAAAGAGTTTCTTTAAAGAAAAATCATTTTTTTTATTTTTTTTTTATAAAAAGATGGGAGAGTAAAAGAGGCAATAAATGAGGAGTGAATGGTTGGTTTCCGTTAACTGCTTGCTGCCAACCTTGAGCTGCTGCTGCATTGTGTGTGTGGGAAAGCTTCGCTTTTCGTAGCTTGGAAATGATTTGATATCATAAACAAGGATGGATGTTGATCTTTGTCCTGATGTAATTTTCTTTCTCTTACTTAAATTTGTTTAGAATAAAAAATGAACCCCCAAAACCAGGCATTGAAATGCATGCAAATACGAAAGATGAATGTGTAAGATTACTTGGATTGAAAATAAATTGGAAAAATATATCGCTACATACGCCATTCAATAATGGGAAATGACAAATATGAATTCGGATTGTAATATCATGTCGGATATCTAATGCACATATATTTCGATTAGTAGTATAACCAAAAAAAGGGGGGGTGGGAGGGGAAACAAATGATCCCAAACATGAAATGTAATGTATGAATCGACAAACTTGCTTCAAGATCCAAAACCATGAGATTCGAACCCATAATGTCTGACCAGGTCAAATCTTAGAACAGCCCAAGCACACCAATGTTTTTGTATTCAATATACGAGAATCCAATCTGGTTCGGTAAACCCAATGCTGAAATCAAAGTTGAAGCATGTCAACTGCTTGTCCTCCTCTCCAAGGATCTTCATGATCAGTGTGTATGAACCCTGTGATGTGGAAGAAGATAAAAAGAAGGAAACATGTTGTGTTGGTTGATCCTTCTGAATCCATGTGTCACAAAACAAGTAACAGCGACAAAGATTAAAGATCAGAAATAGGTAGGTAGGTAGGTTGACTTACTGGTGGAGTGAATGATGGGAGCGTCTGTTGATGGGATAGCCGGAAGTCACCGGTGGAAACTGGGCAAGACGTCTCTTTGCAGAGGTCAAGCGTCTCCTGGTGGATGTGCATGCCAAAATACTTGACATCGATCACCAGTTTCCCTTTGTTTATGTCACCCCCTGCATCACAATCTCAAAGCCTCGATCATGCCACTGCTGCATTAGAGAGGAGCCTTTATCTCATAGATCATGTCTTTTTGTATCTCATCACCACGAGAACAGCACAGGAGAACGAGTAAAAACCAGTGTCGAGCTTACCAGTGATTGCTGATATCTTGAAGGTAGCAGGTTGGCCTCGCTCAATCGGGTTGGGATTTATCTCGACCCCCTTGACCGTCACCTGGTAGCTGGCTTTCTTGTCTGTAAAATTATTTGAGAGATCACAATCTATCTCAATTTAAGAGGAATTCCTGAAATATGTCATCCGATCACACGGAACCAAACAGATTCGTGAGCGTAGATGAGGAAATCTTTCTTCTTCTTCTCCCAAAAGAAAGAAAGGAGTAATCGATTTGGAAACAGTTTAAATGGTGTAAGAAAGAAAGTGAGGCGAAGGCGATCACCGCAATACTCGATCTGGTTGGTGTGGACGGGACAGGCAAGGAGAAGGCACGTAGCCGCCGTTACGACGCAGAAGAGAAGGAAGAACGACATGATGTTCGCGGTGCAGTTGTGTTCGAGAACGTAAGAGATATGAAGGTGACGACGAGAAGAGTAGTGTTCTTGTGGGGAACGAGGTCGTGATGGAATGGAATCCTTCTTTAGCTTTGCTTGTAATAGGCAAAAAGGTTTGCTACTGCCAACGTAGCCTCACAACAAAAGAAATCCCAGCCAAAGATTTGCTGTCCTTTCTCCACCTCCTCAGATCTCTGTCGTGGTAGATTGAGCTTTGCGTTTATGAATGGGAGTACACAAAACAAAGATATTAGTACGATGGTGGGTCTTCTTCCAGATTTTATTGCCATGGGAAGAGGGCATACTACTTTGTGGGATAAGAGGCTCTCGTGGCGATCCCACATAAGCCTTCGGAGTCCAAGACATCACGGCTCATCCTGATGTAGCCGTCTTCTCCCCAACCTGCACCCCATGAATTCTTCACGATCCAGAACATGTCCTTATCCGTGGTTCCATATCCGACCGCCAACACGCCATGGTTGAGACTCGACCCACAGGGGCCGTCGAAGATGCCATGCGAGTAGAACTGGAAGCCGAATCCGCCGGCGTCTATTGCCACCGACACCGGCTGCTTCGCCACGGCCTCCAACAGGCTGTGCTCGCTCCTGGCGGTCACGGCTTTGTAGCCGGAAATGGTGGAGACATGGTCGTGGAGTTGGTTGCCTCTGCACTCTTCCTGGAAGCCTTTGTAAGGGTACTTGGACTCGGAAGTCAACCCATGGTTGCTTCGGACGAACTCGAAGGCATTTTGCATGAACCCTCCACTGCAACCATGGTTTTTCCCGTTGATGTCACAGTCCACCAGCTCTTGCTCCGACAGCGGAATCAGTTTGCCGGTCTTGATGTAGGTGATTCCCTCGATCGCTGCCACCGCGGAGAAGGCCCAACAAGACCCTGCTCGCATCAAGAACACCATAAACACGAACATCGACGAGTTCTACAGACGAGTTGTTGCATATCCTGATGCTTACCGCATTGACCTTGGTTCCTAACACCGGTGACGGCTCCCTTTTTCCTCCAATCCAGGTGCTCGGGGACGTGACTTTTCATGCTATGCGAACTGTTCGACGATATGTCCACCGTTTCCACCTGAGACGACAGGTAGCCGGAGTTGATTGCGGCAAAATCCACAGCATGACTTGTATGCCGGTGATGCAGTCGATCACCTTTACAGGAGGAGGAGTAGTAGTCTGTGGGTCGTCGGTCAAGCACATATGCTTGGCTCTGAATTCCTCGTTCGTCATGTCCGCGAACCTGTTGTCAGTGAGCTTGTAGCCATGGTCCTCGGCGTTGAACTTGCTGATCTTTAGGAAGTTGGATTGGTAGATCTTGAAGCGCTGCTCCTTCTCCTTCTTGTCCTTGTAGGTGAGGCCATGTCGAGCGATCCAACCCTCGTACCGATCTCTCACCGCGTCCCGGGAGACGGTGGAAGGTGGGCAGAGCGCGAAGAAGAGCGACAAGGCCAAGAAGCTGTTGAGGAGCTTGCCGTCGCCCATGGCTGGCTCTGCGTTCACGTAATGCTCTTGCGTCGATCTGATGATAAAGCAAGCATTCCTGGGGAAGCACAAAGTTCTCGTGGTCTGGGAGGTGATTCCGCTCGCAGTTCATGCATCCGCATAGCGATGGAGCGTCGTGCGTCTCTCCCTCACCCAACCGCAACGGATTGGCACATTCATTGCACGACAAAGAAAGAGGTGATCTCTCTCTCCTCAGCACTCATACAAGTAATTGCTGCTGCAATTACTGCAGCATTGTGATGGTGGCATCTCTCCGCATTGGAAGGCGATCCTTATATTATCTCTTTGTTCTTACGGTAACACATCAAATTAGACTTTTTATCTCGGAAGAAGTAAGTCAAGACTTTGATTGATGATTGGTATAATAACAAAATTCACGAGTCATATCTAGTCCGAGATGTATTGATTTAATCTCACAACTTAAACAAGTCATATATCCCTAATTAGATACAATGATAGAAGAAGTCAATACAATGACTTGGGTTAGGCTGATGATAAGGTTAGATGTAATCACCTCTAATTTTATGGTTTTCACTAAAAATATTATTATTATTATTATTATTATTATGTACCTCTTACTTAATCAGTATACATTTATTAAAAATTTTATTTCAACTGTTAATACATATCTTCTACATTTGACATCTAAAGCACAACTTCATTAATCAAAAAATAAAAACTTACATTATTAGAAATCCTCTCACATCTCTTTTCATTTCAATCTATTTGCAGGTAGATTCTCCTTTTTTTTCCTTTAAATAAATGAAATATATTATCAATGTTTAAAAAATAATAATATCTCCTAAAATTTTGATTTTTGACGTAAAAGAAAAAGAAAAAAGAAATAAATTGTGATGCATGCTTTAGATTCAATTAGTTGTTTGAATTTCATATCATGATATGAAAAATTATACAATGGTTTGCATGAATTTAGATTAATAATTAACACTAAATTAATTGTTTGAATCATATGACATAAAATTTGTAAACCCTATTTAGTAATTTTTCAGAATGATCATAATGTGGATCATTGATTAGGGTCGATAATTATTTTGAATCATGACATTAAAAAAAAAAATGGCCCCACCTTCAATTGCCTAATTGACATGAGAGTGATTTGGAGGGTGAGGTGACGTCCAGAGAAGTTTACCATTTGCCCACAGAGAGGATGAAGCTATGGGAGCCTCCAAACCAAATCTTAAATCCATGCACGTTATCCCACTTCGCAAAGTCCATCAACAGACCTTATAAATAGATTTGAGTACGATAAAGATATAATTAAGATGATAAGAAGAGATGGGATGGGCAGCTTTATATATATATATATATATATATATATATATAGTTCATGCTTCAGCCCGTTGTTTCTTGGTCCTAAAGCGAGTCAGTCCTATTCTGTGTGCAGTGCACCCCCTGGATCACCGATACCGTCCAACTCCTACCTGATCTTATCCTTGCATCTTCACCTGTGCGTCCGTGGCTCGCTGCGATATATAGTCTGCTTGCGCCACCGGCCACAAAGTATTGGAGAAGCGAAAGAGAGAGTCAGAGAGAGAGAGAGAGAGCCATGTCGAGCCTTGTCGACATCTGGACGTTCGAGTTTGCGAAGCTGAGGGAGAAGAAGGCTGGAGGCGGTGCTACGACAGCAGACCCTCGTCGTCCGTGGCTAAGACGAGAGGAGCAGGAGGATGTTGCCGGAGACAAGGGAGCGATCAAGAGCGTGGCCTTCTCGGAAGCCACCGTTTGGATGCTCATGAACCGGTTCGCACCCTGCTGAGCATGCGCAGGCTCTTCAACCGTGTGTAATAGCAGCGTGGATTTAGGATCGTAGTTAGGGGTATATGTCATTGCATACGGAAAGATGTGGATTTGGAATGCTAATAAATTAGAGAGCTAATTGGAATCTGGAGTTCGTGCAGTATAAGATCGTTAGATGGGCATATTGCTGTGTCGATTCTTTGAGGTTGCACAGAAGAGGAGCTGCAACACAAACTCCTTCCAAGTCTAACACGACGATTAAGCCACTTGAAGAACCAGAAACATACACCTCACCTGACAAAAACATGATCGTCGGAAGTTCCGCTGCCGATATAAGCTTTTGGTTGGCTCTATATATCACAATAATAAAAGAGAGAAGGATAATTCTGTGGGTGCCTGCAATGATCTTATCAGTGGAAAATGACCCCACCGTACCAGAGAGACATCAGCACCTGCAGCATCTCAAACTGATCTTGTCATCACACACAGGTCAACATAGAAGACACTTCCGTGACGTGATTACAGTTTTGGCCATGACTTGCGCATGCCAATCTTGGCGCTCGTCGAGGTCTGCTTTCCCACCGAACTTGTCTACTCTTCCTCGTCTTCTTGTTCTCGGAGAGAGTAATCATGCTGCAATGCAACGACTATTGGTTCTCTGAAACTGGCATTTACCAACCATACTATATCTTACCAAATGAATGAAAACTCCTGCAGCAGTCATATCCATCTGTGTCCTCAGTTTGTGATTGAAATCACCTTTTGGAAATATATCAAAATATGACATATTTTGACCCAATCACCAGCAAACACAATAATGAGATATAATACGAAATAATCTTGGTATATGAACATAATACATAGCGAAATTAAATTAAATTATAATCAAATAGAACACCAAAATATACGTAGAAAAACTTCGTAAAAATCACGGGACAAACTAGAAATAATCTACTATAATAATAATAAATATACAAATCTCAATCTCTTGCCCAAAACTCTAGCAACAATCACAAGAGAATAACTGGGATATAAGGATCACGTCACTGTGCTCAATATGTAAATCCTCCCTAATTCTTCCCAAGTAATCAAAGTAAGAATCTACTGTAGATTTGATCTAACCTGAGATGAGAACACTGTTGGATGATTGAGAACAATCTCTCTGTGTTGTCCTTGTTTTCTTCCCTTTCTTTCTCCTTGGATTTCTGTCTTTTTCTCCTCCTTTTTAGTGTTGCAAGGATCACCACGTTGTTGCAGTTTTTATCCAAAAAATGCAACCTCTTGCCTCTCAAAACACAGCCACCACACCCCCCTTATATTGATCTAGGGTTAGGTCAAAGGGTGTGTGCTATGGGCTGATAAAGCCCACCATGGGCTGAACCCACTATAGGCCGTCAGCCCAATACGCAACGCCACACGCTGCCAGAACCACGAGGTGCACATCACGTCAAGTTCGTACTGATACACTATGCAACTTGACCAACCCAAGAGCTCGGGGCAATGTCGTCTGCTTTTGGGACAGTGTCATTTGACGCCACAAGCACCCCTGAGGATGCCATCTCATCATAAGTTGTCCCGCCCCCACAAGGTCAGCAGCCACGCCGAACCGAGGGGCAACCAACTCTCGCACATAGGTATAAATACCCCCATCCGATCCCAAGGAAGGGGAAGGGAAAAAAGGAAAAAACAGGGGAATCCGAACTAAACTGACTTGCTCGTCGGAGGGGCCAAAGTTGGAAGATACCCGACGAAGGCCGTTTTGCAAGAAGGTGATCGCCACTGAGCAGCGGGCGTCTTCACCTCGAAATCATCATCCAGTGTGTAGAGGAGGGTGGACCAGCGGATCGTGTCCCAACCAGCACCAGCCTGCACCTCCCATCTCAAGGGTGAGCCCACGAAGAAAGATTGCCACTACCCCAGGGACGAAAGGACACATCTCGTCATAAATGACACTCAAGTCGGTTGGCCTTGGAGTGCTAACCCCTAGCCGCTCGCGAGGACTCAACCGACCCTTTCGGCTCAATCCTCGCCCAAAGCGCTCGAGAAGCGTAGCCACCTCATCATCCCACTCATTCCACTAGAAGTTCCCAACATCGGCCTGCGGACCAAATCGTGTTGAATCATCAGCCACGGTATCTTTGTTCACTAACATATTGGCGCTAGAATGAGGGCCCATGTCATAGGAACAGCTCGCAGGAACTCACCCCGGGAGGGAACCCCCGACCGACCTCCCTTCCGCTGAGCCAGAAAGTCAAGCCCTCCCCGCCCCTGCGGACGGAAGGATACCGGCTTCGATACCTAATCGCTATTGGCGTTTGTTCAATGACCCGGGACTGTTGCCCCCTGGGCTCGCCCCAGGGCCCTCGGCCGTGACACCCGAGCCATTCCTCAGCCTAACCAAGCAAGTGCAGACAATGGCGGGCATGATGTAGATGCTCGCCCCGATTATTCCTCAAATCGTCCAACTAGCAACGCCCCCGACCGATCCGGCCTGGCAACCCCCGAATGGGGAGCAGCTTGGGATCAGAGAGGCCTCGGGGTGAGCGACGGACCCGAGGGGTCCTCCCAAGCAAAACGCACTTGTATCCGACTGAGCCACGTTGTCTTATCTGGAGCCTGACACCATATCGTCCGACTCAACGGATGACTCATTTAGAGCCCAGTTGTCCCGAGTTAATCAGCGCCTGGACGTGTTCTAGCGCGAGCTTCGGAGGTCGCAGAGTGAGTCCAGCGAGGGCGCTATGGGCGGGTCCCCCTTCACCCAGGAAGTATAGGACAAACTTGTGCCCCTCAACTTCAGGCTCCCGACATTGGAAACATATGACGGAGGCTCCGATCCCATGGAGCACGTCTCTATATTCTGGGCCCAGATGGCCCTCTATGGTGCCCCCGATGTGCTGATGTGCCAAGCATTTCCGACCACTTTGCAGAGGCGGGCACGGATGTGGTTCAGTCGGTTATCCCAAGCTTCAGTTTTGTCCTTCGACCAGCTTACCGAGGAATTTGAGCAAAACTTCCTTGCCAGCACGTAGCCCAGGCCTTCCATGGCCACCTTGCTTGCACTATCTCAGCATGAGGACGAGTCGTTCTCTCAGTTCGTGGCACTATTCGCCATCGAGATCCGGGGTTTTCCGGATGCTCACCCTTCTCTAATCTTGCAAGCCTTTCTGATGGGTCTAAAGCCTTCGAGGTTCTTTTGGTCATTGATCGAGAAACCGCCAGCGATCA